GTTGACATTTTCTCCCAGGCTGTTTTGGAGACTTGCCGAACTTTTTCGGAAACTCCCAAGCAGATGCTGACAAGACGTTCAAGTCTTTCTCGAGTTGCACAACCAAAGTATCTAACTCCTGCTGAATGGACATCGTTTTAGCGTTCAGCATCTGAGTGGATTGTTTCAGTTGAGACTCGACGATATCTGCGGAACTCTCAGACAGCACCTCCTCAGGACCACATTCGAGTAGGTTCAGGCTTCTTCCGTGCCCTTCACCATCGCCAGTTCCCTCTGGAGAATGGCGATCTTCGTCATGATCTCCTGTTCTTTCTCCGGATCCTTTTCTGTCATCATAGTTGGTGTAGCAGAGCTGGCTGCTCTCTTCGAGGGCATCTTCTTGCCCTGGTTCTCTTCGTCGATCATCAACTCCCAATCGGAGCCCTCCGATACTTTTGGTGCCCTGGTCACCGGTTTCTGATTGCCGGAACTTGTGTTGGCCATCAGCCCCGACTCCACCTTGGTCCTGGCTCTGACGTAGTTTTGATAGCTCAGTGCCCAAGCTGAGGTAAGATGGCTGTGGTTCATCATCAGGGCCCGATAGCGAGCATCTTCTTGGTACACTTGGGCAAAGGTCAGGCCCTGTTTCTTCCCCTCCGGAAAGACTTGTTGTCCCCATTGGCGCAGGGTGTCCACACCTGGGGGCCTCTTGATCTGCACAGAACTCAGGTCGGTCATCTTCAGGGACTGATCCTCGGGAAATTCCAAGGGCTGATCTGGTAGAGGAAGATGACCATCGCTCTTCATCCACGGTGGGCACGCACGGTGAGCCATGATCACAAAGAGCGTTCTTTGGAACTTTGCCCTCGCAAATCACTGTAGAGCTCTTGGGAGATTGAGCCACGGGAACTGCAGCTTCAAGAAGTCGTTCGGCTTCTGCTTTGCTTCCAACTTTGGTTTTCACTATTGACTTCATCAAGTTTTCCACTGTTTTGACATGAGTAACAACTTCACAATTGTCGGCACACTCCGAATTCGTGCATTTTCCAACGGCTTCCAAGACATCAGCAAGTTCAACTGTATACAAGCCTTTGGAGTTTACATGAAGTGGTACTCGGATTCCACTTTCAGTGAAAAACAGTTCACACGAAGAAGAACAGACGTCAGCTGCAGTCGCTTTCAAAAATGCATTGGAGAGAAGAAATGGTGTTTCACCTTTGACCACCTCAAGCCTCATCCAACGTACACCAAAAGGAATGTACAAAGCTCCAACACTGGGCAACGTTCCATTATTCCCAAAACGAAAAACAGTGTTTGAACTTCCCCAATGCACTTGAGATTGAACTGCAGTTGGCAAACTGTGCAACAAGCCCTTGACCTTTTTCTGACCAATGATTGATTTACTGGCTCCTGTGTCTATGATTCCTGGACAGCTGGCTTCCGCACTCAAAACTGGAAAAGTCGGAGAAACAGTGCTATTCCTGGACAATTTCCCCTTCATCACCCTGGACAAACGACTTTCAAGGGTAGCCACTTTCAAATAATTGGTCAGTGCTTCAAATTTCTTTGACTCCGTCATAAAAATGAATTCCTCATTAACCCCGTGTTCGGTTTGTTGAACAACGGTAGACTCAAATGGAGGGAGAACCCCAAGGCAGTCCTGATCCCAGGTCTTGACCATGTCCTCCAAGCGGATGATCTTGCCCTTCTCCTTGTCCTGGGATGGAAGTTGCCACTGAAGTTCTTCATGGAAATCACCACTGGCCACCTGCAAGGCGAGGTTCACATCGGCATTCTGACTTGACGAAGCAGCTCCGCCCTTACGAGGGCACTCCCACTTCCAGTGACCTTTGACACCGCAAATGCGGCATGCCGATGAGGCAATTCGGTCTGCAAGGGTCTGGTTCTTTTTCTTGCCACCTCCCTTGAAACCTTTTCCTTTTCGACCACGGCCTTTTGACCCTTTGGAGGCTGGCCAGAAGCCACGGGCTCGAAGCTTGTCGCGAATCCTGGCTCTGGCATCGGCATAAGCCGAGAAACAGAGAGAAAGTTCGGAGCTTTCTTGGCACACATCGATGAGTTGATCTTCAAAATCGCTCACTGTTTGAGCATCTTCATCACCTTGTTCTACTAGAGACTGCAAAATCGTCTCTTCATCCCATCCATCATCACCTGCATGGTAGATCTCCTCGTGATCTTCATCCACGAAGTTGATTGGGTAAGTTTTCTTTTTCTGGTCTGTCTGCCCGCCCAGTACTTTTGTTGACAGGGAACGCATAGCTCCATCCACCTTCTTGGCAGTGAGCTCCCCACCCGTAAGGGTGATGACCTTCTTCTTGTCCTCGGCCTGCAGTGCGCTCTGGCGCAAAAGTATGAAGGCTCTCATGTCAGCGATATCAACTTGGCCCAACTCAGTGAAAGCAACGTTCAAACGATTGACATAGCTCAACGTTGTCTCATCATTTCGTTGAATCACCTTGTATAGAGCTCTTTCAAACTTGTCGTAGGTCTGCAACTCTGAGTTTTCCTCCCAGGTAGCCACTGCCGCCAGGAGAACATCTACTCCCTTTTCAGGGTCAGAAAGAAGAGCAGCATCGGATCCCTTGATCTGTGCCCATGCGGTACCTTTCATGAGCATGGCTAAACGGGGGGCAAGCATGCCCTTGTCTTTGACCGGGCATATGGCCCGAAGAAACTTCACTTTATCCACATATTCTCGTGGATCATCCACTGCAGGGTCAAACGAAGGCAGGATGCTCCATAGATTGCTGGTGCGCTCATCGGTCGTGGCACCAGCTGTTCCCGCACCCTCCATGGCTCAGTAGCTGGTCTAGTGTGCCTTTTTTGTCCAAACCCTGTTGTTAGAAACACGTGCAAACAACAAAATTTAAGTGAATTCCCTGAGGATTTTAGGCCTTTCCTAATTACCCTCTTTTATTAGGGGACCAATGTGGGGTGTTCCTAAGGAGACCTCCGCAAATGGAGGCTCCGCTACCAATGTTAATCTCAAACCCTTTGAGATGCCAAATGAAGTCCTGTGATTCCGCCAAGGATCCCTGTCCTAGGTCTCTTTTATTCTGCCGCGCCTTGTGACTCCTCGAACCCTCCCTCCACTGCGGTGGACGGCGAGAGAAAAGGGACCAATATGGAAAGACAACTTGGGAGTTTCACAATATGTATATGTATATGTATATGTATATGTATATGTATATGTAGGTGTGTGCGTGTGTACATATACATGTATATATATATATTAAATTATAATAACAATAATAATAATATATTATTATGGGTCATTAGCTATTAACCTTTTGGTCTGTTGGTTGAAGCGTGTTTTCTCCAAGACATATCCTTGTTTTTTGGCGTGCATGAACCCCCATGCCTCGGGATGCAAAACCATCTAGTTCGGGGAGGGTGACTATGGTGATTCCCATCGCCCAACTGTCCCGATGAATGGGACCAGTCAATAAGTCCCCATGACTTGGGACCCATAACTGGCTTGTTTTGACCCACGACACGAGAGAGATTCGTGGGTGCCAGGAGCAGCTGGCCATGCTGGTGCAGCGTTTCCGCCTGAAGCAGCAACTGCAGCGCGTCTTGGCGGAGGAGAAGCGGCGCCAGCGGGTGATTCTCAGCGCTATTGCGCATCAGCTCTTGGTGTCTTTGGCGCAGATGGCGGCGGATGGACGCAGTGGGTAGCGACTAAACTGTGGGTTGGATGAAAAATTGGGAAGAAAATGGGTAAACATATGTAAACATAGATATGAGAGAAAGAGAGAGATGTAAACATAGATAATTAGACTGGATAGAATTTATTTAAAACATGGATAGACATTGTCAATATTGATTAAAAAAATGATGCTTGGAGCACCAAACATGGGGGAGAGACCACCCAGAAATATGCTGGGCGAAACTCGACTTGGTCAGGGAGCCAACAGCTGATTGTCAGCACCATCTCCAGTTGGGAAGATGGTCCCAGTGGTCGAAAAAATGGGAAACTGTGTTGGCAGATCATACTCGTAGGTCTGGAGAATGGATAGAAAGATATAGAAAGAATGAAATAGATATTGTTAACTATTACAATAAGCCAATAAGCCAATTGATTGGAAATATATTTGGAATACAAAGCCATGAAACACTGACGCGCAGCAAAAAGGAGCGTGGGGGAAAAGAAAAAAAAAACGTGAATAGTGGTGAACAATGGTGAAGAGAAACTCATTTGGCAACTGACCAAATGGTCACAGATTCTTTTCATGGCTACATCCAGGTGGCGCGTCGGAGGCCCCAAATCCGAACCTCCTTCCCTCCCGGATCGCACTGACAAGTTATTCAACTTGCCCCCAAGATTTCATAGTTTCAAGATATTATATGTTACAACAGCATGCTACAACATGTTACAACACATCTTTATATGTGTCTTGTGTATAACCATGATTAACCATGGAATTCATATTATGGATAAATTCCCCAACACACATGCGAGTTCCGATCCTGAGGTGATGTTCCAGACTGCTTTACCGGATGACGGGAAAGAGGCTTCGCCTAGCGCCACCTGAGTCGCAGGCATGGCGACTTGACGTCCCGCTTGGATGATGGACAGAACGGGTGCTATCCATTTACTGCGGCTTCAGTGAACTTCAGTGGCTCAATTTTCCACGATGCCAATGTACTTTCAGAGAAATGATAATAAATGTCTATATATTCTCTCTTTCTCTATATATATATAATATATATATACCGAGTTTATATACCTGTTTGTTGGTGCGTACGGCAATAGAGGGAAGGATTCAGGGTCACCGGTGGTCTCCCCCAGGTCCCTGGCAACGCGACCAAAGATGGGTGGAAAAAGGCGACGGAGAAAAGTCGCCCTTTCGACCGGTGGGGGAAGACCATCTGCTGCGGGTAATGCCCAAAAATCCCAAGGTTCAACCCAAAAAAAACGTAAAAGATGTTCAACCCTCAGTGATTCAGCAATTTTTGGTAGCTTTATTCTCCCAGCACTTGGGGTTAGCCTGCCTGAGGTCAGAAGGATGAAGCGTACCAGGGCGGCAGAGTGTCGTAGAGGATGTTATGATATGGCTGATGATGTTGAAAATTTATTATTTGCAAGTGACCGCACCACCTTGCTTTGCCTATGCACATGACCTACATGTTCCAACTATGAATCAATCATGAGATGGTTGCTTGATTCGGTGGTTCAGGTGGCTTGTCCAGTGTTGCTCTTGCAGATGTTACTAGGTTGATACATTGCTATTACCTATTTATATTACATTTTAATCATAAATGACCAATCTATAACCGAAATTTTGCATCATTTTGCTGGCTATCTCATGTTATGTCCCCATCTTTTCCCACTTTCCCGTCGCATTCCCCGCATGGATTTCCACTTCCTAGGCCGGTGTCTACACCGGCGGTGACCATCGATGTGGACAGCGTAAAAGCTGTGACCTTGGCCAAGGGGGTGGAAGAGTTGATCCCAAGTTAATTACTAAGCAGATCTGAGCAGTTAGTCATAGTTAGTCTCAAATGATCCAAATGATTGATTTGGGTAAAGGAGTCCACCAGATGCGGTGGATGGTTACTTAGCGAACTTTGGCACAGCTACTATCCAGTCCGTAGTCCCAGTCGCCATGGATGAACATCGAATCCAGACTGGTAATCAAAGTTGTAAAAGTAAGTCCAAAACTGTTTAGCGGATTCGTCTATGTATTTTCATGATGTAACTGTGGTTACCAGTGACAAAAAGCGAGATGATCCTCCTCCGTACCCTCCAGTCATGCCACTTTGCCATGGATGAAAATGGATGAAGCTATGGATGAAGCCACAGAGAGAAAAGCATGGCTCAGTTCGATTATGGTTTTGTTCTCGAACTTGAAAATCGTTACCTTCCGTAGCAAACTGTGAAATTACCAGAGGGTAAACCTGGCTTTGAAGATGGGAACTGAGTGATGGAAAATTGAAACTTCGGCATTTATGATTCGCCATGAATCGGGATGTGACACGGAGAACCGATGACATGATCAGCCTTAAATGGGGGTCTAGTCAAATGGGCTTCCAATTATCTTGAATTTGGGGGCAACCATCAAATATGGCCCCCACAAGACTTGTCGACCCCTGCACTGCGGGGGCTGGAAATTTGGAATGATGCAGTTCAACAAGAGTCAGACATGAATCATCTTTACAAATGTCATGTCCAGCTGGACAAAATACGGTCATCACATGTTCTAAACACTTCAACACCCATTTCTTGGGCTCCAGGTTCAATTTCAATGAGATGTTTCCAGGTTCATTCCAAAGAATATTGGGTTCCAGTTATCAGTTCAATCAACACTTCCTCAAAAGCCGTGAGAATAGCAGCAGCGGGACACAGGGGCCGCCCATACGAATTTAGCTATGAACCACCATTTATCCTGGGGAAAAATTGGTCATGGGAGCTTTTTGATTAAGCCATAAACTGGATTGAAATGATGTCATTGAAACATGTGATCGGTGTCATTCAATGGTTCAAGGCGAAACCTACGAGAAGGCGATAAACTATGGGCTTGTACCCCACATGTAAGGAGGTTCCATCATGTCATGATTTCGGGATGGATCAAAAGTATAACCCCCATTAACTGTAGATATATGATGATATATTGTATCATAAACCCTACAGTAGTTATTGAAGTTATACGTGAACTTAGCAAACTATGAAGCAGCACCTTGCATGAACTAGCATATTTGGATTGGATGAACATTCATCAAAATGCCCAGCATTTTTTGGTGTTCACCATCCTCAAGGGGGGTTGGAAATTTCAACCACCAGCACCCAGGTACCGACGACCAAAGGAGATGCCAAGCGCTCCAGCCACTCGTTAAGCCAATTTGAGGTCGACCGAAGCCTGGTAGAGCTCACCATTAGAATGAGGCGTGAATGGAGACTATATGGGTATGGATCAATACATATTAATACCATTTTTAGTGGGATGAACATCGGTTTACCAGCTATTTTGATGTTCACCAGGGGTACAAGGTTTTGACACACTGCCATATCTTGGCAAATATATAATAATAGTAATAATAATGATGATAATGATAATAGTGATAGTAATGATAATAATGATAATAAATGATAATAAATGATAATAATGATGATGATATTAATATATATATATATATATAATTATTATTATTATTACTATTATTATTTATATATATATTATGTACATACAGGTGATAGGTGAATAATGGTACATTAATACTATGTAACCAACTATGTCCAATTTGGGTTTGTTGCAACACTGGGATATACCGGGATGTCATTTGATTCCATTGTATTGGAATACAATCTGATATACTGGCATATCAAACCAGCACTATGATGTTTGGGTTTGTTTGAAAATATAGTATACGTGCCATTTAATGGAGAAAATTATGGTTTACCATCAAATGGAATATGGAAGGTCCACACTGGGTTTTACACCCGTTGGTAATCAAACATGGCTAGCTGGGAAATCCCTGATAAATGCAGGTTTTAATATGAAAATCAACTATCAAGGGGGAAGGTTCCATTGCCATGTTTGATTACCAGATGGTATTTGAGGATTCAAGCCATTTTGTGATCTGAAATCAGATTTCGGAAGTAATTTTCTTTGGGGGTTACCTCCTTGACAGCAGATTATACTGTATACACAAGATGTAATAGCGGAGCTTATAATAATAACCAGGAAATTTTGACGGAATGAGTAGAATGATGAACAGCAGTTTATCCAAGTAATTCCTAGATGTTACTAGCTGCTTAATCAGTGCAGGGAGTATCCCAGCAGATCATTCGCAGCTTGGGCTCAAGACGATTGTGCCAAGCACTTTCCCAAAAGATCTATCTGTTGATCATCCGCAATGCAGTTCTTGCAGACCATTTTCGGTCTCTTGGTGGCATGCCTCAGTGGTGGTGTTGCCTTAAAATCCAAGGCGCCCAAGGACAAGTTCGGCTTCTACTTCCCGGTGCATTCGCAAATCCCATCCACCTTGAACGTCCTGAAGTCGGTGAGGAAATACTATCCAAACTCTCCCATCTACCTACTGCAGGATGGTGGCAATGTGGACTTCGGAAAGTTGTGCCAGGACAGAACCCAGGGCTTAAGGTAAGTTTATACCGTGGAAGTTCCAGGAATTGGATCAAATTATATGAAATTGGAATGAATTGGATCTTCTTGTCAGCAATCTCACTGGTTTGGTTTTAGTACCTCTTGTTTTGAATTTATCCTGGCAAACCCACTGCCATGAGCGACTATTTTGGTGGATCGACTAATAAACACCTCCCAAAATAGATCCATTTTTGGGTAACTGAGTTCTTTGATAAATTTTACCGCAAGGTGTTCCTCGTCTCCGGAGGAGAAGGAATATAACTGCATCTTCGACCGCGTGCACGGAGAGAACAGCCGCTGGAACCCCCACAGCTGGTTCGCGCGCTTCGTGAAGGCCACCAAAGCCCTTGGAACGGCAACTCGCTGAGGATGACCATGGGATGGCCACGATGGTTTGTTGATGTCTAGGGCTGAAACTCATAGAAACTGCCACTCGCAGGGGGTGTGGAGTGGATTTGGATGAATCTATGTTGGTTGATCATTAAGATGCCATTTACAGGTTACCTCAAGGTGTGCCTGTGAGGGACAGGGTGAGGACACTCCACTCATAAGTACGAACCTTTCGGAACCTTCCAACGAGAGAGAGAGAGAGAGGGAGAGAGATGTGTGTGCGTGTGGGTGTGCGTGTGTGTGTGTACAAGACACCAGGAAATTAAGCAGGTAACCCTCGCAAAATATACTCCTCTCATAAGGTGTTGAACTTGTAAACAGAAACACAAGCAAACTGTATTGAAGGTCCTGGGAAAACATCATAAGACCCGGTGACAAAAAGGATGTTGCTGCGGCCTCACCGAGGAATTCGTCATCTACTTGGAGCCTGACGTGCTCATCAGAAAGCACCATGTGATCGAGCCCAAGCACGATGCAGGCGGCATCTACGATGACTTCAACCCGCACATGGGGCCACAGACCATCCAATACCTCGAGAAGATGCTTGGGTTTCTTCAATGAAGGTGTATATCTTTAGAGTCTTCAAGGATTTCCCAGTACAGTAAGAAATCGAGAAAAGTGATATGATGCAGATATGAGATAACATATTTATCATACACAAGATCTAAGAATATGATATACAATTGTATGCAATTGTACAAATATGTGTATATTTATATAATTTTATATATATATATATATATATGCAACTATTTCTGCTTATGTGTATACATTTATATATTATACAAGCACATGCATGACCTTGACTCATTTCTGGTGTAGCTCCCAGATTTTGCTTCCCAGGATGGGCCGTGAGCGCAACCCGCACTTCAACATCTCCTGGATCCACTTCGGGCTCAGCGGTGGCAGCTACTACCGTGCCGAGGCGGTGCTCGATGCCTTCGCGCCGCAGAATGTGAAGAAGATCGACTTCGCGGCGATGGAGAAGAAGGTCCCATGAGGGAGGGATGGGATGGAGATCTGGGGGGAGTTCCGTGCCTATAATATATAATAGTATATTAATTATATAACTATATAATCTGTGTGTTTGTGTGTTTGTTACGTGTATAATTGTTTATGTGTCTATTTATCGGAAATAAAGGATGATCTGTATGTTTGGTTTAGATGGTTCAGTAGGGGAAGATGAGGAGATTCGCTCACAAACACTGTGGAAAACCTGCAAAAGGAAGATGGAACTGGAAAAGTAGGCTGCATTTTCTATGGAGAGGCCTGCCATTCTTGGAAATGCTTCTGCACTAATTGAGTACAGTAGTTGAACCCCGCAAAGAAGGAGAAGGAGTTCCATAGATCTGCCTAAACAGCCTCATATTTTACTGGTGTTGACATCCAATATCTTTAGTGGCCGCAAGTTCAGCTTGAAGGCTGATGTCTGAAACCCTTCAAAGCCTGGGGTTGTGAATCTCCACCTTTTGCTGATCGCCCAGGAGGGTGACAAGACCATGAGCAGCGACTTTTCCATGCTGGTGGCCATCTATGCCCGGGGTTGGAATGTGTACCTTGGAGGATGTTCGGGCGGATTCGGGCGGCCTTTAGCTGGATCCTAACATCCAAAATCATCACCCATCAGCACCAATCACCAATGATAATCCAACAAATCATCCTTTCCCCCTAATATTAAGATATATTAAGTAGTCCCTTTGAAACCCTGGTTTAGCTTTGGATCTCTTCATTTTGGCATTTTGGGGTCCCATGTTGATCCGTCTTGGTGGCACCATGTGGCACCCTATTCGTTCTAGGGGACGGGATTTAGCCTCGGCCATCTACTGCTACTTTACTGTCCGTACTAATCCGCTATTATTGGCTATTCCCATCTCCTATTGTTGAATCATAAATCGCCATGGTTGACCATTCCCGAGTATGGATAGATCATAGATCCAGTGAAAGATTCAGCCACCTTAGGACCTTGCATGGGATTGGCCCCAACCAGCAATCCCTTCGCCATGCTTCGCCATGGGGCTGGTCATCCACCATGGTCATCCGGTCATCCCAGGTACCCATGGGAGGAGACCAGCCAGCACTGGCTCAGCCCCAAAAAGCCCACGGATCCGGAGCGATTGTCTGAGAAGTTGTCGGCCGCCTTCGAGCATAACCACAAGGTGCTCACGTGCTGTTCACCAAACGGGCAATTTAAGGTCTAGGGAATATATGGAATATGTTTGGAGATGTTTGGAGAGATGTGTGTTCAAAGATGATAATGTGAAGGGTCTAATCTATGTGTTGAAAAGATTGTTTTATGAAGTTTGTGGCGTTTTCTACGCTTTATATGTGAAATCTCAGTTTCTAGGTTCTGGTCAGTTCTGGTGGTGGTTTTTTCCGGGATGTATCTCCAAGTGGGTGATTCTGGACCCAGGGTCATTTGTTCGGGCCGGCTGGCCTTGCTACAGTTGTTTAAGCACCAATTTGCCCCATTGGGTTTGAAACAGAGGTCAACCTTCATTAAACTGCAGGGAAGTGCAGGGGTGCAGGCACGGTGTGATCACACCTGCTCCAGAAAATCATGGCTGGCCAGGACAATCATCACAGCCACCAATTCCACTGAACCTTTCAGGTATCAAGGTCTTGGAGGTTTTATGCGTTTCAAGTGATCGTCCCAGATTGTGTATGCTTGGCGACCATCGTTGGAGTATGCCCCTATTTTTCCCAGCCAGTTCAGTGGCCCATTCAGGTATTTGCCACGGACATACCACTGCGTACAACGCCATATTTTCCTTGACAGAGGCCTCACATAGGTTCAGAATAGGCAATTTAGGTCCCTGCCTCGGTCCCTTGGTCCGCCAGGAACACTACAACGACCCAGTGCCAGCCAAGGATAAGAAGCTGATCACCACTTTTTCTGAGAAGTTCGTGGACACCACCTGCCATGGCTGTGTTTGGTACCATGATGCGGATCCTAACCAGTACCTTTGAATGCAATGGAGCGCGGTTGATGTTCGCACTACTTGGAGTGATCCTTAACTAGCCTTATTTTTTGGGGGGCAGGTAGATATGCATACTGCCCGACTATCTAGCGAAAGACCCAAGTTTCAAGCTTGGGTGGTTGGATCTCACCTAAGCTTTCCTATCAGCTTTGTTCACCTTGATAGTTCTGGAGAAGATGCGTGTCCCATCTCCCGAGGCGCTATCCGATCCCAAGTCATCAGCCGGAGATCCCCAAGAAGTACCGCTATCCTCTGAAGGCATAGGATGCATAGGACAGCCATGGCAAGCACCCCAGGTGCCATGTGGCCAGCTGCGAAAAAAGTGGGGAAGGTGCTGCCCTTGATCCGTTTGAAAGACACCAAAAAAAAAAGACACCAAGGTCACCAAGCCGGACCAAGCCATTCCATAGAGTTTGTTTGATTTTGTTTGGAGTCGCCGGCCACTTTGTCAACTAAAGCGTAAGATTCAGATGATTCGGGTCCTTCATCTACCCTGGGCATCCCTGGGCCTCATATGCAACCATCCCGTTACAGCCGTTTCCATAGGGGATGACAGTGGGACGACAAGGAATTTGTTGCAGATTGGTATCCAGGGACCAGCTGGAAAAAGAAGACAGCTGACAGCGGGTGTCCTCAATTTCCGGTAAATATATGTAAATATTTTTTTCTCTTCAATTTATCCATTAATTTGTTTTGCTGCTTGTACCAACATCTAAGAACCTACTGATTATGAAAGATCTTTTCGCTACACTGCCAAGGCGAGAGCAAAAAGAGCGAGGGCCGAAGGCGTGGCTTTTTTTCATGTTGTTCCACGACACCCTCCAAGCCGTAGAGTCGAAGACCCCAATATCATGGTGTCCGATGGTTGTCCGCAAGCCATGGCCAAATTTTAGCTTGAAAGTATTCTTTGAGGCTGGGGCTGCGAGGTCACTTTCGGGTTGGCAACGGGTGGATCATCGGATGAGTCGACAGAGTCGACAGAAAGGTCTTCATGACAGCAAGTATGCAGCGGTTAGACCATGGAAGGTTGAAGGCCTTGAGCTCCTGGCAAATCACATCAAGCTAAAATCTGGCAATGTGCGGAAATCAATATCAAGGAGTTGAAGCATTTCGCAGGGCATTCCAATCACTAGGTAACATATCCTTGATCACAAGAGTCTCAAATGGACAGGGGGAGCCTCGGAAGCTACAGGGCTGAAACTCTGCTTTATGTAGCTTGGCGATTAGCAGCTCAACGAACCACTCGAACCATTGGGATCTAACATCATTGAACCCATTGAAAAATGGGGCGACGCACTGGAAAAAAGAGTGCCCGAAAACGAACAACAAATGTGTTTCCAGGATGTTTAGAGCCCATAATCTGCAGGTGCCCAACTTGTAGATCTTTTTTGGGGTTGCTGTACTGACCAACATGGTTTCACGTGGTCACCTCGACCAGCTGGACCTTGACACTGATCAGGACAGATTGGGTGTGGAACCAACTGCCACAGACGCAGAGATCCGCACCATGGCAGAGATATGCCAAGTTGAGAGAATGGGGTTGCAGGTGCTCGTGCATATGCATTTTTGCACTAGTGTCATAGATCGATATTGATACATCGATATTGATGCTATAATCATGTGTAATGTACTTCATGTACATGTGCGTGCCGGTGCATTCATGCAATGCAGTCGCGTGTTTGACGTTGCAGTACGGTTGCCCAGATTTGCCCGTTGGCCTTAGGAAATGCCTACAAGCGCATGGCGTTGCAATTGCATCCTGACAAGGGCGGTGACCCAGAGAACTTCAAGCTAATGCCCCTTTCATGCAGACAGGGGCCCAGAGCTGGGCAAATTGGGCACCACTGTCATTCTTTCATGACAGGGGATGATATGTCATTGGATCATATATGATCATATTATATATTGTATAATCATATATAATCCTTTTGAATGGATAGCTGACATGGGTCAACTAAGCACGAGTAGTACCATCGTCAGCAAGCCCAGGTATATCGAATTCAGTCCTGTTGGCGAAATAAAGCCGTTAACTTGGGGTCATTTCCGGCCCGCTTCTCCAGGAGGGAGGCTTACGAAGTGCGGCAGCTCAGACAGAGGAAACTGAACCTGCTGGAAACCCTCCAAGTATCCAAATGGCCATGGGATCCACGCAAGCAAACAGACTCCCAGGGCTCCTTTTTGATCGATTTGCATAGTTCTTCGTCATTTGCTTTGGTGCTTGATGCTTGATGGTGGCCTATCCTTCTCTCACCAAGAGGTCAATGCATGTGGCTGCTGTTGCGATCTCGAGTACCAAGACCTGTTGCCAGAAGTAGGGGCTGCATGATCGAAGAAAAAAGACGAAGAAGTGACAACGATGATGAATGATCATGATGATGAATTCTTCATGGTGATGAATGATGGTGGTGGTGATGGTGGTGTTGGTGGTGTTTCGTGGTGTTCGTGGTGTTCGTGGTGTTCGGGATGTTGGGGTTGTTGGGGATGACGGGATGACCGGATGATGGGATGACGGGATGGTGATCATGATGGTCATTCCTGTATTCTTGTTATTGTTATTGATGCCCTTTTCCCAACTGTTACATTTTTGATTAGCCTTTTACCATGTTACGCTAATGATGGCTGGGAAGTCTTATATTCACCATGCAATTACGTTGAATCCGTATGGATCCGCACGGGCTTGCCAGGTTCTGAGCAACCATCAGAAGCGCACAGTTTACGATTTGCACGGCATGGAGGGCATCAAATGTATGGAGCAAGCTGCGCAAATGGAAGCGCGAATGTCGTAGCCTGGTAGCAAAACACTGCGCAACGGAGGGTGGGTCAGCCCGTGAAAGTGCGAAAATGTGCATACAGTAATTCACCTTCCTAATTCGCATCCCTTGTCGCATTGCGTTTCCTTTTTCATTTTGCAAGTATCAAAAATCATTGGTTAGGCAGTGCCAGCCAGTGCCAGCCAGTGCCATGAGTCCTATGAGTCAGTAAATCAACCACTTGTTTTTCCAAATCCGAACTGCGTTGTAGCCTGTGGTAGGGGATCTGGCAGACATTCCTGAAGGGAAGAACAAGAAGAACCACCTCTTAGTTATAGTGGAATTGGCTGCGGTCTCACGAACTTGATCGAACTTGGGGGCTGTTTGAAAATAGTAACAGGATACCCCAGACATCCCTACACCCAACAGTTACCGATCATGTTCCCCATTTTGATGGATGGCCATAGCTGAGATGATCAGTCACTGCAGCTTGGGCCACCAGTGGTCGCCACTTGTTATCTCCAGGGACGTGACGCCCGTGCTGTTGATCATGATGGAACTTGCGCAAACCAACGCACTGATGCGTACCTCGGTGTTTTCTTAGCTGGCAAGGTGGGTTTAATGTTCCATACTTATTTAAATATGACTATGATATTTATTTATTTATGTATTTACTTCCAATGATGGAAGTGGAACACACCCCATGTTCAAAAGGAAACGATTTTTCCACAAGGGTCATGTTCCACTTCCCTCACACAACGGATTTCATGGTTTTTCATGTTTCCCTTTTGTGTTTTGGACAGCTAAATGCCACGATTGTGTGATGCCATCAGCGCTTGCCTCACTTGGTCCGTTGTCGCATGTTGTCGCTGTAGGTGGCATAGTTGTGGCCATCGCCACACTACTGGGGACGCTCGGCCGTGATGTTCCCGCTGCCTTGGGGCTGGTGCCAAACCACTATTTGCAGCAGGGGTTCTCTGGGTGGAGTTCTGAGGTCAATGGTGGTGCTGCCCTTCATCCTTCTGACCTTAAAGTGGGATGGCGACACATCCTTCTCGTGGGCCGTGGTGTTCATTCCCGTTTGGACCCTCGGAAATTCATGGAAAATCCCCGGGGCTCCCATAGCTTGCCCGTTGAAAGCTATTTCGAGAGCCACAAGATTCCACAAAAGGCTTGAACTGAGATGGATCGAATGGCAATTTACTCTACAGTATCTACCCATATGAAGGGGTGCTATGTGTCGCTCGGATGTTGATCTTCGAGTGGTCCCATTGAATTCATCCAGAGATTCAATGGTACTGTGACGGTTTCCGGATGTTTCCGCCGGCAATCAGATGAGTATCATGACTTCAATTTATGACTGGTTCCACCATTTTTTTGTTGAGGCCCCAGTAGATTCACATGGCTTGTATGGTCCAGGTTGCCCAGACATGCCCAGACGGTCCAATGTCCAAGGATCTTCCAGCTGGTGATCCTGCAACTTTGTTGGCAGCGTAGGTTCGAGAGTTGGAACCAGATGGCTATAACAGCCAGTCTCGAGATGTTCGAACTGTTTCTTCATTGGCTAATATTTATTAATATTTATGAATATTTGGGATAGTGTGTCATAATGCATCCAGCTGAATCCAATCTACATCTTTGCGGGCTGGGTCGGAAAGCACAAACTGCTAATCTCTAATCGGGCAATGCCCCTAGTTCCGCTTTCGCCGTTCCCAGTCATCACTGAATCACTGGCCAACTCGGCTGCCAAGGTGTTGTCAACATGTCTTCTTGAGCATGCAGCAGCTGGGTGCACCTGATGAAGAGGTGCACCTGTTCAGATTGTGTGGGGGCCGGAACTGGGGCTGGTGGGAATGCTGCAAGTTCACATCTTTGTGATTCCTATTAATTGCTTGCAGACACGACAATAATAAGGCGAAGAAATCGGGAAATATTCAGCACGAATTAATTAGCATACGTCGTATAAAGATATATATATATGTGTGTGTGTTTATTTTTTATTTATATACATATACATTTATTTATTTATTTATTTATTTATATTATATTATATCTCTGTGTGTGTTTGCATGTACTTATGTACTGTGTATATTAGTATATATATATATATGTGTGTGTGTGTGCGCTTATGTATGTATATATATATATGGTCGCGGAAGTTTGGGAAAATTGGTTTGGATCCATTCATTTTGTGGTTTCACGGAGGCCAGAAACACCGGGAATTGCCGTTGGGTTTTTTCCATTTTTGCTTTACCCCTTCTGTCGGCTCAAGGGGAGGCAATTCATGACCAGACATACAGCCCTTTGCTCCACTGTGCCCATGGGGGCCGAAAAATATCACATGGCACCAAACAAAGTCAGAAGATGAGATTGACATGTCAACTACGAAGGACAATAGTTTACTGAAATTAGTTTTTGTGGTTCCATGTCAGGTTGCAATGGATTTTATATGGGTGAAAACCCGTTAAGGAGGCTGCGGATGGGTGTTTCCAAGACTAGGAGGCTTCCAGCCCTCAACGAGCCAAATCTTCCCAGCCATTTCCTCCCCTTGTGGCTGAACCCCCACCCCCCCCCATTTTTTTGTTCCCCAAGCCCCGTGGCCCTGTGGCCCGTGCCACACGGACACTTTTGGTTTGAACCCCCCGCGCGCCATGGGAGCCGAGACAACGGTGCTGTCGCTCTTGAAGCAGTGCTTCCAATGGCTGGATGTCAGCCGAGGAATGCAGTTTATCCACTGATGCACTGTTTTCTTTGTAGGCTTCTTGGATCTTCTTGGTAGATATGTTACTCGCATGTCCTTCCCTATGTATGTTCATTTGCTCTACACATGTACATACCATATCATATCTTATCATCTTATTTTGTCATATCATATCATATCATATAAACATATGACACATATATACGCATGTGTGTAACTACGTATGTATGAGGCGCATGCCTATGTACAAAAATAGACAAACACTGATTTATCCAAATGAATACATAGGATATATATAATTATATATATATATATTCAACTGTAAACACTATATTTATATATTATATACATATGTATATATATATATGTGTGTGTGTTCACATAATTTCACATATATTTGTTCACATTTACATATCATAGTACATTAAATTATATTGGTTGACTGGTAGATAGATACCTGTTGGCATTCGTGGCCTTCCAGGAGCCCTGGAAGCTCAAGAGGTCCAGCCCGAGGCATCGCCCTCCGCGTCGCTGGCGACACAGACCCCGCATCTGCCCAAGGTGCAGTGACTTTGGCACAAAATGGAGGAAAAGGTGCCTATGGAACTGGGAAAATGTTGGAAAATGGTGGGTGTTTTCTGTTTTTTTCTGGATAATCTGTTACTTTATGCTGATTTTATATGATTTTGATGGAGTTATATGGGCTGGTTGAGATTGCTTGATGAATTTCAAATGGAAATCATCGGTTGGATTAGCCCAGGCAGGTGCGCGGCAGGGCTGGTACATCTCCGGACTTGGGGTTCAAATCGAGCAGTTCAATAGATTTCATGATGAAAGTTGTGAAATTTAACCATGAAAGTTGAAGATTTGTCCCAAAAAGAACTGAAATCGATAAGCAAAATTGGTGGATTGATCCAGGAATTGCCGCGAAAAAGGAAGGTGAGAAAACTGGTCAAAATCACATGCTGCAGCCTCCGTGGAACATTTAGCAGACCTCACCTTCCACAACAGTCCCGCTTCAAGTTGCTTCACACCCAATGCCTATCCGAGGGTTTGCCAGGGGTGCGAGGGTCTGGTGGATGAATTCGCACAGAATGCACAGGGGCTTACATTATGTCGCACATGTTTCTTGGATTTCAATGTGGGTGTGCCTGAAAAGGAGGTGCAACCCTCAGCTATGGCAACTTGAAAGGGGATGAGGATGAGGATGATGATGATGATGATGATGATGATGATGAACGATGATGGACGATGACGATGACGATGACGATGACGATAACGATGACGATGATGACGACGACGACGACGAGGATGAGGATGAGGATGAGGATGGTGATGATGATGATGATGATGATGATGGTGATGGTGATGGTGATGGTGATGGTGATGGTGATGATGATGATGATGATGAAGAAGAACCAAGGGGTTCCCTATTTTGATTTGTTTTAAGACGAACCCAGTTTGGTCTGGAAAAATGGTTTGCTGAAAGCTTTTGGGTATGGGGTGTGCAGATGGTTTCTTCCGTCGTTTCGCTTCAGCTATGTGCCAGAATCCAAAGAGTTCGTCAATGAGCCAGACGTCCAGGTGTTCAGCACAGTACAGTCGCACCAGATCCAATATATTTCAGGTTGTTTGCAATTCTGTGTCCAATTGTTCGTTTACACCAAAGTCATCCAGGGCTTCATGGTCCATTTTAGTTGCAAGATGTCATGATGGGGAGAACAACCGGGTGGACTGGGACATCATCCCTGAGGTTTGAGAAGGGAAGATGAAGAATTGTTGGGCCCTTCGGAGGAGGAACAGGAAGGCCTCTCACCCGGCTGTGCCAAGTTTGTCAGATTGCAGCACCCGCTTATGGTCAGAATGTTGATCCAGACTTCATTGGAAAAAATTATCCAAAAAGGTAGCACTGTGAAAGTACCCTCGATGTTCCGACGTGGTGAGGACTTCACCATTCCCAGGTTTCTCTATCATTTCCTTTTCAAATCCTGGCATTTTCGGTGCAGTCGCTCGGCAGTTGTGTTTCCCCACGGTACCATCGTCCATCATCACAGGTTTGGAGCAGCTGGCCAAAGTGCTAGACAATGTCTCCTGGAAGTATTGGAAGCCAGGCGAGCAGCCCGCGAAGATCTTGGATTGGATGCAGCTGAGAATGCAAGACGGAACCTGTGGGAACACCTGAACTGTTTGTGAACTGTGGCAAGGGGGTCATGTTCTTTCAACCCTTCCAGAGGCTCCAAAAAACTTGACAAATCAATCCTTAGTTGGTGCGATCATGGGGTAATTTCTAGGCATAAAAGGACAATAAAGAAGCACCTATTCTTTACGATGGGTTGAAACTCTCGGACCCCCATAGGACCCCTGTTGCTGATCCCCAAAGCCGCAGACTGGCTGTGGACAGCAGCAACCCACATCCCATGACCAGGTACCTGGGTGATTTGAAGGAAGCCACTGATTTCGAGTTGCTGAACGACCGGCACATCACAGCCGTCCTGAACTTGATCAATTGGTGGGAGCTGAGTTCTCGGCTGCCAGAGGCGCCAGATGCCAGGAGTAGAGGAGTTTCAGCGGTTTCCTAAAATGGGACCCAAACCCAGTCATCAAAAATGGCCAATAACCTCAGATGATTTTGGCGTTTCCTGTTTTAAGCAACTTTCTAATGTTTAGGGGAGTGAACATCCAGCCATACCCTCAGTTATTCGGTGTGAAGACTATGGTGTCAGGCGGTTGACCCATCCTGCGTACCTCAGATTTGGTGGGCGACCTTCAGCTTGATGTGGGAAAACATGTGGGTTTGGTGGTGGCAGGAACTGCCAACCAGCCAGGGTAATATCCCTTTGCTGATCTCACCACTAAATTTGCCAGGCACTACTTGGATGACCCACTCAGTAAATTAAAAGTAGCCAAGGTTTGGAAGTCTACCAGGGCTATCCAATTTACACCTGGCTTCTAGTATCTTAATACTTTCAATTCTTGTTGCAAGATCACTACCACAACGCCTGTCACGGCACGATTTCTTGCAATGGCTGGTGCAGATGCTTCCAGTGCCTGCTTGGCAGGTGGCAGATTTCAGCGAACTCTACAGCTCCCATGACGTAGAATTCCTAGAAGTTGACTCAGAGGAGAACCTGACCCACCCCGACCCAAGATCACTCATAAGATCCCCTGAGGCAGTAAAAGCCGTGGCCACTCCAACAAAGATACCGGAGAATTGTGGTACTAAATACTAACCTGACATGGTTGCGTTTGCAGGAGTTTGGGTACATGTTCACCTTGGTTCGCCAGTTTCGTGAGGTTTGTTCACTTTGGGTTTCAGTACATTTCAGTACTAAATGGGGTTCTCACCTGGAACAGAAGTGGTCATCGTGGTTACCCACCTTTCAATCTCCGTCCGACCAGGACCGCCTCTTCTTCGATATCGTGGAGAAGTGTTGGCCGACCTGCGAGTCATTCTTGAAAAGATGCAAAGCTCGTGGAAAGAAGGTCTTAGTGAATTGCAAGGCTGGTCACAATCGCTCAGCGTGTATGTGTGCCTGGGCAACGGATTCTGGAAGAGGTGGAAGAGCGGTTTGTTCCAAAAGGTTTTAGAAGCCCGAGTGCTTCGTAAATAATACAGTATATATGAGATTATATGAGTAACAAGGGTTTCTGGTGGCTTCAATAGAAAATACAGGATTGAGCATGTCCCATAAAGCCTGTTTTGGACACTTACGACACCTGGAAGGGGCAATATTTTTGAATCTATTTTGTAGACAGCCTTATTTGGTGGTTCTTAATGATCTTTGTTTTGTATTTTGTAGTGGGCAGCCATTTTGGGTTCCATAGACTTCCATTTTGTAGTACATTTGGGGGCTCTCTCTTGGATCGACTTGTATTCTGTAGACCCCTTTTCTCTACAAAATCACCTGGAAGCACCATTCACCCGAAATGAGCAAGGGGATATTGAGGAGGTGGTTGGGTGGAGTTGCTTTGACCAACCAACAAGCATGCCTTCGCGGAAGTGTCTCATGGCGAGTCTCCCGGAGAAAAGTGGTAGCCCATGGTAGCCCCACATCTTGGTGTTGATTTTGAACCCAAGGAGTAGGCCAGGGTCCTGGGTGGTGTCCAATATGTTTGTGTCAACCCCATTTTGGATGATGACTGACTCTTCAATGGTTCAAGAGGTTGAAAGCAGCAACCATAAATATCAGAATTCAGAGGATTCTCAGCGGATCCCTGAGGCGTTTGCTGGCTAGTGGCCTGCGAAGGCTATGGCCTCTTGGAAGCGTTGGATTTGGTTCAGACACGTCGTGGCTCGAGACCTGACTGGCATCGGCTGGGAGACATGGAGTGGGATGGGATTTGATGGATATGGGCTATGGGTCCACAAGTGGTAAGATTTGGTGCGTGGGGCGTGGTTTAGCTTAACACATACAGTAACCCCCAAAAGGCAGGTACGATAAACATGTCAACCTTAATATGTTTGTTCCTGTTTGTCATTTGGAGGAGAAAAATGCGTAGCTTGTGGACCACCATAAAAAAATGTGGAAGAGGACACCTTTTAGGATTTGAGGATTGGGTGAAGTGATCGGCGGACGGTAGGCACAGGGATCACTTTTGTCCGCCACAAGCGGAGAAACAAATAGAAATGCACTATCAGGATAAAACTCGCCACACGTCATGTTGGCAGGTGCATGCATAATCCTACATGTAGTATCATATCTATGGGCACTTCCACATATGTGCACGCATGATCACATGTGCGTGCATATGTTTGCATACAGCATACACCATTACACGGTAGTTTCCTTCTCGTGGAATCGTGTGATGTTTGGCTCCCAGAATGGGTTTTAAGATGATAAAAGGTGAATTTAGATGGTAGTGTCTATCCCTTTTTGTATACAGTATATATATATATATATTAGATTCGGATGTAAAAACATGTAAAAACCAAGGTTTCAACTGTAAATCCTCACGGAAAAACCGCTCTATTCAACATATACAAGCAATTTTTGTTGGTTAAATCCCCTCGTGATTCAAGGCTTGTATGAGTCATATCCCCTTTATTGATGGTGAAGGTGAAATATACATCCCCATGGTTGATTCTGAAATCCATTGATATCCCTACTTGAGTGCTTTAAATCCTTCTGGTTTATGGTGAAAACATGTTCAATCCTCATGTTTGAATATGTTTGATGCTTAAATCACTGAAACCCCTTCAAATTTCGCAGCAAAACCATGCAAAACCCATCCATTGAGCCATTGAGCCATCCAGGATCTTATCCAACCACGGCTTTCGGCTGCAACTCCTGCGTTTGGCCTTGCGCCTGGGTCGCCTGGGGGAGATCGACGCGGCCGAAACAAAGCCCGGCGGGTTGGTAAAAAGCGGCAGCAACTCGCAGGTGAAGAGCATCATCAATGAGACCTGGCGGATAATGCAGAAAATGTATATCTTATGCGGATATATATATACATACATCATATGTATATATATGTGATTATGTGTGTGTGCGTGCATATGTGTGTAAGGGGTTTGTTGGGTAGCATCTAGGATATCAATGAGGGCTGGCAAGAACATCGTTCATGTCAAATATGCAGATGTACCATGATGTACTTGTAAATATTCAGCATTCATATATTCATACTTATTTGATATTGCTTATATATAAATGAGACCTGGCATGATGGAATAATCGGGATGGATAAGTGTATCTCATGCTACTGGGGAAGCAGCGCCACATGATTAAAGGAACTGATTTAGTGGAGTCGAAATAGAAACCTATCAATATCATCAAGAAGACCTGCCAAGGAAGATGGATATCTCCTGTGCACATGTGTATACAGATCTATGTGTGTAAGCGGCTGGGTTGGTAAAATCCTTTGGACGGCTTGGAAGTGACTCCCAGGAAGCGCAACTGTTTGACAACTGTTTCCCAAGTCAACCTGGCGGAGATTCCATGCTACCCGAAATTATAGAACATGGGTTTACCAAAAAAAAGAGGTCTGGGTGTCATGATTGTCCCATGTGATTGTGCAATTTTTGGTGTCCATGTAATATATAAATTTGAAAGGGTGACCGGCGCGGATTCCCAGAAAATCATAGAATATCCCCACTACTGTATATGCCTATGATATCCTGCATTCATCCCAAATGTCCAATCGCCATACCCTTTGGTAATCAAACGTCGCTTGCTGGGGATTTTCCAGCCATGTTTGATTACTGATTGTTATACCCATGATATCCCCATTTCTGAAACTCAAAGACTATTTGTGCCGGTCAAATCACCATTTTTTGATGGTTTAATCATGTTAAATCACCATTTGTTAATGGATCATTATGGCCCCATTAGGCCCATTAGGGGCTTCATGGTTTCATGCCAAGGAGAAGCGCATGACGGTGCAGTACGATGTGGCCACAGAGGACCGCGGCTTTCGACGCATGACCTCGCCCTTCCAAGCCATGCGGCCGCGAAAGCTGTCGCTGATCTCGGAAGAGGTGCACCAGAATGTGAATCAGAGACTTTGGAGCAGCTTAAGGGGCCCCTTTCTGGTTATCCGTGGTTCTCTCGTATTTATTCATGGGTATAGTTATAGCTAGGATTCGTGGGATGATCCTCCAAGTACTCTGAGTTGTTAAAGTTGAACGATTTCAATGAAATGAGCGTCCCAGCTGCGCGCACGCAACTTCTAAAGTTGACCAATGTTGCGTCCAGCTTGTGTCTAGCAAGTTAGTTTTTTCAGTGTTTTGACTTTTTCGTGGGTTTTGCATTGCCAGCGACTTCGTGTGACTTCGTATTTAGGTTGTGTCTATACCATGTTTTCATGATCGCATGAAAGGACAATGAAAGGAAATGAGAGGAAATGAAAGGAGAATGAAAGGAACATGAAAGCAAATGAATCCAAAGGTCTGGGTTTTGATACCCTTTGACGTCGTTTGATACGTCGTTCGGACGTCGTTCGAAACAGCTAACCGTGTCCCTACAGAATCCAACCGGTAAAAGCAGTTTTTCTTGTGATCACTTGCAATCTACATGTGGTGAATCACTGGCGTCCCAATATGACATGAGTGTTTTTTGTTGTATTTAACACCACTTGGAAGATGTTTTGGGAGTCGCGTCCACAAGGTGTTTCCTCATCTTTCACACACCAAAACTTGCCAAAACAGAGTTTGTCGTACATCGGCGTCCCATTGGGGTTGACCTTGCTTTTGGTCAACTTATTTGACTTCCTGATCCAACGGCGTCCCAATGAGATTTGACACACTTCTGTTAAATTGGTCGACTTTAACGGTTCGGAGTACCGCTAGCTAGAACATTCCCGGGTTTACTCGCAGGAAAAAGTGGAAAATGCATGGGATAGTTATCAAACTAGGTGTGGTTTTCTGGCAAGCCAGTTGAAATTGCTGGGAGTATGGGTCCAGTACCCTCTCAGGGTGTAGTTGGGGTATGATTTGGGGGTCGGTGCCCATAAGGGGTGTTTCTGAGCATACTTAACATGTCAATGTTTATGATATGAATGGTGTTGAAGGATGTTTATGAAAGTTGTGTGTGATCATTGACAAATGTTTTGATGTTTTTGATGTGGTGAGCCCAACAACAAACCGTCCCAATTTCACCAGAAATTGGTTGCAAAACCCTTGAAGTTTGGAGGTGTAAGTGGGTCTGTCACATTATGACCAACGGTTTTGGGGGTGGTCTGAAAATGGGTTATGCTCCCAAATTTACAATTGTTATGATTACGGGAAATCGTGATTAGCCATTAGATTTAGGGGTGAACAGCGGTCTTCAATTTCCACCCCGATAACAACCCCCCCGGCTTTTGATCATTGGGAGGTTACCTTTTACGGTTTTTAAGGACTTGGGAAAGGAAATCCCAATTTCGGGGAAACCCGTTCTTAATCAATCAGTGGCTAGAGCTTATTCATTTGGGGTTGATAGTGTCTATGAGTCTATGATGTTTGCTTGCATCTGTTTCGATAAGTCCAGGAAGAAGTTTAGTTATTGATGCACTTTGGTAATTTATGTAGGCAGGTGGAGCTTTGCGTGAGAAAGAGTGGTTCGGTGACTTGATTGATTGAATGGCGTGTCATGTCTAGTCTACGCTTGATATTTTCAAAGTGTTGGATATCAAAGGGTGGACTTGGTCCATGAACGCTTTAGTTTTAAATTGGTGGATACGGTTATGAACAGAGAACACTACTTGGGATTTCAGACCTAAATGGTTTGGTTTGCTTAAGAACCAGAATGGCGAGTGTGTGTTGCATTGCTGGTGATGTTTCTATGACCGTTTTTTCTTTGGAAGTTTCATCTACACAAGTAAATGGTATTGAAGATCAACCTTCTGCGATTTCGGATCCAAAACCGAAGATCTAGAGATCAAGATGGCAGTTGTGATGATCCAAAGCGAGGAGTGGTTGTCAGTTTATCCAGTGTTCCGACCTGTGGATGATAATTCCCCAACCAGCATTTTGGGATTGCACATCCAAAGAGCGCAGTTGTTTGTGCTAAATATGATGCCTCTACTCCTGTCTTGCACAATGTTTGGGGTTTAGATCCAAAATCATGAGTTGCAGTTTTGTGCTGTGCTACATGTGTACAAAAAATGGTGAGTTCTTGTCGATTTCTGAATCGAACATGTCGACGCGGGCGCACCAATTCGGGTATCGGTTGGTCAAGGCCTGGCCCAACAGGGGCTTTCATTGTTTGACCATTTCTTTACCCTGGGGTAAACATAGTAAAAGATGTGAACAACCCATGGTTTTCCCTACGAAGATGATCTACAAATGGTGGGTTTTTCGCATCTATGTTAGTTTACAGGAGGGTACTTGTCCTAAGTTCCAGAAAGATGTTCCTGAGTTCTTCTGCAGCCAGATGAGTGGCATTTGTAGCTCAGATCTCGGTTGTTACGTCCATGGTACCATCAAAGATTGCAGGCGGTTGTATCAGACTCTGAGACATGATGATGTGTTCTTTAATATCCCACCCGCATTCAACGGATTGGCTTAAGGGATAATCTACAGGAAACCATTGATTTTCCCATGAGCTATGGGGGGGGGTCCTGTATTATTTTTCTCCGAAATCAATCCCATCCACGACGGCCTGGCTGCTGAGCCTCAGGAGATCCTTAAAGGTGGAGCTTTTGGCCTGCCACTGGGCGGTTGGAAAGATGAGTTGCTTTGAAATGGAAAGGAAACAACCAAAAAACATGGACTAAATTTACTAAATTGACTCACTAAATGATGAGTTAGTTGGTGAAAAGAACTGAAGATGGATTTAGGCCATTAAGTTCTGCGAATTTCAGGCGGAAACTGTTGTAACCCGTTTGGGGCATCCGGGTTTTCAGACAAACCCAAATGGGGGAATCATTCTAGATGAGACACGTATGAGTTTTGAAGATTTGAATGTGTCATGGCTGAAAGTTCAAACTGGGACCGCAAGACCATCAAAATTCATGTACTGGCAGCCTGCCAGGGTTCTACTGGTAGCAGTGTTGAGCTTTGAAGATTATCTATCCCAAGTTTGATTGTTTGTAAGGTTGGTGCGGTACCTGCTAGTATTGGTACCTTCAACAACTTAGCTATGGACTCAACTTTATCAATTTGACAATCGTGCAACTTGTTTACGGGTGTTTTTTGAGAGCATTGCATTGGATGATGGCATTCGATGATCGTTGATCCCCATAGCAAAGCCTTGGCCCTTGAAAAGCGTAGTGACAATCGGAGCACCGAAAATGAATGAAAATTCGAGAGTTTCATGCTGAAAACTCCGGACATGTGCAATGTATGGTCCATTTTGAGCCTCATTTGGGGACCGTGCCCAAGGTTCCATGGCCATGTTTTCTTGCGACTTTTCACCATCCCATGACCATCAGGCTTGTATCACAGGAATCAAAAATTCCTGGACGATTACGAGTACACGAGCCAACCCCCCACCATCATTGGTAGTGGCTTTAGTGGAGATGTGGTTCTGTGCCGGAGCAAAAAGAAGACTGCGGTGGTGCAAAATCAAGAGATACCTGGCAGTTTCAAGGATCCCTGGGTGGTGCAAAATCATGTGTGAAAACCCTCAGGGGGATGATCCAGGTGCAAATATGTTAGACTGCAATGTCCGTGTGTAAGTGTGACTTACCATTACCATGTACGTGTTTCCATTGTTTTCTTGATTCACTTACTCAGATGTCAACAACTCAACAACTAGCTATATAATTGTTGGGCTGAACCTTGCAAGCCCGCCATCCTTCGGAAGTGTCCCAAAGGGTCTTTCAGGGGCCCCAGAGTTGGCAATAAAGCAACTTGTGGATTCCATTGGGGCACCTTGTATTTGCCTCAAAAAAACAACACCAAATAATGAACCACCGATCTCGCGTGGGGACTGCCTACCCGAGCGACTATTTAGACTTTGGGACAAACCCTTTCAAAAACTGGTCGAGTTTACCATTCTTAGGATTGCTGTTGTTGGTTGAATCCCCATTTTGCCTACTTGAGATCCCTAGTTTTGTCGATGAAACCCTCATTTTCTAGTTCATCAGCTACCATGCTTGAAGCCCTTAGGACTTTCGTGCGATGCGTCAAGCGTTTCAACTTGACCTGCATGGGTCCAGTACCTCGACCCGACCGAAGGGGTAGGAGGGTAGGAGGGTAGGAGGGGTGGTAGGGGCGGAGAGTCTATCAAAAAAAAGACACACACACACACTTGCTCAGAAATGTCTTATCGAATTACTGATGTGGAATGCATCGGACGTGCAAAGACAACACAGTTAAACCTAACAGGAGTGGTTTAATGACCTAACGTGTATATATATATATATATATACATTGTGACATCCCAGCTGCGCACGACGGCGCCCAGGGACTGTCACTGCAGTGCCCAGCTACGGCCCCCACTGAAGGGGTTGCCGTCCAGGGCCACTGCATGCAGGTACGTTTACACGGGTCCCGGGGGGGTGTCTTCGTTGGCCACCGACCCCCCCGGGACCCCGGTGGCCCCCTGCAAAATTTGAAGTTTTACATCTATTCAGATGGTACACACACACACGCCCCGCCACAGCGGGGCAGATGAGATGAGGATGAAAATGAAATGAAAGTGAAAGTGGAATGAAAGTTACCTAACCAGGACGCGAAGAGGGGAACGCAAGAGAAGAGGGAAAGAGCAAACACCAACACAACACACCTAGCCCGAAACGGGCAAAACCCTGAAAAGGCAAGGAAAAAGAAAAGCGAAGGCCGACGGACACGCAACCAGACCAGCGGAGGAGGGGGAGGACGGAAGCGCCTGAACCAACCAAACAAAGCGAAACCTAAGCCTACCTCGGCACGCGCAGGACCCAACCTACCTGAAGGGAGGAGAACGCAGAAACACATGAGAAAAGGGACCCATGGGGAACTAGTTAATTAACTAAATGATGCATCCACGTTGACATGCAGTTCCCCCTCGTTAGGCTCAATGGCCTGAGTTCGCGTCAACCCTATGGACCGCTGTCGGTGTTCAGATGAATTACGTGCACAGTTGAACCTCACCGAGAAACCCAAAAGAAAGTGACCACACCTGAAAAGCATGTCCTGTTGCCTGTTCAACCTCATGCAAAAAAGAAAAAGGTGAGTGCCCAAACAGCGGCCAGTTGTTCAACACATCGACATCGACAAGTGAGACCATGAAAAAGGGCCAGCAGTTCACTTTACTTAGACGAATTACTAAGTTGAAAAAAGGTGATAGCCCAAACGGCGGCCAGCTGTTCAACACATCGACATCGACAAGTGAGACAATGAAAAAGGGCCAGAAGTTCACTTTACTTAAACGAATTATTAATTCAAAAGTGTAAATTCAGACATCGTTTTACTGTCAATTGTTAGCCTAGAAAGGCTTTCCCCGAAGGGCTCATACCACCTTGTCGGAAATCGGCATGAGTGACACACTTGCTCAGAAATGTCTTATCGAATTACTGATGTGGAATGCATCGGACGTGCAAAGACAACACAGTTAAACCTAACAGGAGTGGTTTAATGACCTAACGTGTATATATATATATTGTGACATCCCAGCTGCGCACGACGGCGCCCAGGGACTGTCACTGCAGTGCCCAGCTACGACCTCCACTGAAGGGGTTGCCGTCCAGGGCCACTGCATGCAGGTACGTTTACACGGGTCCCGGGGGGGTGTCTTCGTTGGCCACCGACCCCCCCGGGACCCCGGTGGCGCCCTTCAAAATTTGAAGTTTTACATCTATTCAGATGGTACACACACACAGATATATATATATATATACCAGTATATAGCAATTTAATAGAAACCTTGCATTTCACCCGTTGTCGAGCAAACAAGCCCCCAGTCAAGATCTCTGCTGATGACTGCGAAACCATTCAGGAAAAGCTGGAGAAGTTGAAGAACGAGGCAGTGATTTATTTGTCTTTGGAGCATCCCCACATTGCAAGGCTCTTCGATGTCTACGAGGATCCCCAGGAGGTGGTCGGGGCCAGTGGCCTAAAAATATTGATACAGTGCCATTACAGTGCCTATATCATACTAAACTGGTGTCAACTGGTCAAGGATCATCAAGGATCTTATCTCTCTTTTTACATCCTTTTACCCCTCCAGTAATCAAACATGACCCTGGACAATTCTCCATTTAGTTCGATGATAGTATTGATGTTCGCGTGCAAACTCTTATATTTAATCATATTTATACATGGTATTTCGCAGCTAGCCATGTTTGATTCTCCACCGGAGGGTCTCGCAGTGTTCACCGAAATCTGGCGCGGTAGGTGAGTTTGGTGATGCAGTACTGCGCGGGTGGCACCTTAGAGAGTGCCATCCGCAGCCAGGGGGCCTTCTCCGAGTCCAGGTTCCAGGCTGGGGATGGTGTGAGAATTCGTGGGTTTCAATGGACAAAAAGGTGGGGTGCTGGCGACACATTAGTTCTGGGCATTGGGCCAATGGCTCGCCTTTAGCCCTTGGCTAAACTCTCGGAAATGGCGATGGAGAGAGAGAGAGAGACAGAGAGAGAGAGAGAGAGAGAGATATATATATATAATGATATATATATATATACTGTATATACATATGGGGATGCAACGCTTGGATATGTTTGAATACGTTTGGATTATCGAGTTGATACACAGCCATGTCTGGTTTTGTTTCAATGATGTGTTGGGCCTGGGCCCAGGATGGGCTGTAATTCTTCATCCCTTAGCTGAGTGATCGTTTACTATTTGGGGAAGATGATCCCAACATGCCCCACCGTTTCGAATCGTTTAGATGTGTTGATAATATCGATTATTGATACATGTTCTGGAGGAAGGTCCAGACAAATACTAACTTCAGATAGCTTCAGCAGTTTTCTTGGGACAAATAAGTGGTGAAGCCCATTTGCTAGGAGTTGGCATTTCCCATGCTGCTCACAGTGAATTACATTCACTCCTGCGGTATCGTACATCGAGAGCCATGGTCGCACGAATGTGTGAAATGATGAAAATGCACAGAATTCTTTCGGTGACGGAGGATGCCAAAAATGAGATAGGATGCAAATGCAGCAGCTGCCAGATGTATTCTGTGAGCACTGGACCAGCTATTGATCAGCAGCATAACAATTTCACTGATGCTGGTGCATTTGGATGAAAGCATACAAGTCATGTCCTCCATTTCCACGAATTTATTATCATTGATCTATACTCTATATATGCGAAAGGGAACCAGGTAATACAGCAACTGCACATGCTGAGCATGTAAACAATTATGCATGGACTGCCAATCACTTGGCTCAAGTCATGCGCGAGGAAAAAGACCGTTCTCCGAACGCCATGCAGTGACGTTGCCCTGCACTACCAGCACAACCGGTACTACAATCAAAAGGGATAATCCAGAACAAGGATCAAATTGCTCACAGGTTATCAGCCGTAGGGCTCACTTCTCCCGCCGGGAGAGTGGTACCTGCGTGCTGGTAGCCGGGCCTTCTGAGCAATTGATTGAGGACGCAAAGGACCAATCAGCTCATCATTGCAAAGATGCAAGGCGGCAGCGGAGATTCGCGCACCACGCAGTTTACCTTCAACGAGAACACTGCCATGCCGGTCGAGGAGGTCAATCAATCTTCCCCTGGTGACACGGCAGACAGTGGTGGGATACGCTCTACCCGAACTACACAGTCCGGATGGCAAGTCACGTCAAACAGACGAAGGATATCCACCCAAAGTACACCAAGGTCTTCTCGAAACAGTGCTCGAAGTGATGTTGTCCGCCAAGGGCATCGACCATCTCGAGGACGAACTACTCCAAGGGATAGATCCACCAGGGCCGTAACCGACCGAATTGGTGAGAGGACCGGGGATAGTCGTGTTAAGAGGAGATCAACGGATACTTCTGTGGCTAGTGAACCTATTGCCATGATAGAAGAACTACGGGCACAATGTCAATCCCTACGTAGTCAGTTGAACCAAATGGAAGCATACGCCGCATCTAGAGATCAACTGATTCATGACATCGAGATCAGATTCACCGAGTATCTTCGGGAACAACCAAAATGTATTTGATGAAGTCAATGCACTCAATCATAGATTGTCATGTTCCGCGAATGAGGTTGCAGAATATCAAGCAGAACTAATGGTAGCATCTCAGGAAGACGAAGGTGCAACAATACGCATCCAAGACCTTGAACGCCGAGGTGCCCTAATGGAACATGGTGCACGACGGATCCATCAACGTGGTATGGAGATCCAGGAGGAGTACAAGGATGAAGTACATCACCTTCAAGGACTATTGGGTAATACGGAGGCAAGACTGCAACAACTTCATCAAACCAATGTCTTAACCACCGATATTGCCAATCGACTATACAACGAAGGTCAAGAAATGCAAACAGATTTCCAGAACTCAATCATGGAATATCGTAATCGATCCGAAATGGCATCCTTCTCTAGCAATCAACTTGAAGTGATTAGCCAACAACAATCAATTGCAGTTCATGAATTATCTGAACGGAATCAGCTATTGAGTGAAGCTTTGGTTCAGTCTCGTAAACAGGCCGAGCTGTATGAAAGCAGTATTGATGAGATCACTAGAGAATCTAGGAAGAAGGTTTTCGAGGCAAATCAGGCCAAATTGGAAAGTGATCTGAAGCATCGAAACACTGAACATGATACTGTCAGAAGAATTGCATCATACAGGAACCAAGAGGCCGAAGCGATATCACACCTGAGGCTTGAATCACAGGCTAGTGCGAACTCGATCGCAAGGGCTGAGCATTATGAAGAGCTCTACACCAACGAGCAGGAGATGAACTGCGAATTAAAGGATGAGATCAAGTTGCAGAACACGAAGCTGCGAAGATCGTTGACTCAGGGTACTACGACCGACGGTCGTGGCCCCGATGAGATGCTTGTTGAAGATCTACGTAATCAAGCCAAAATTGCTCAAATCAGGGTTCAGGATCTAGATCATGAAATTCATGAATGTTTACAAGAGAACTTGTTGTTGAAAGAAAGATTGGCTGAAGTTGCGGATGTAGGGACGTCGTCCCTCACCAATGCTGAGGTCCGAACTCTAAGATCTGAACTAGAGAGTGAGCGCAAAATGAAATTGGCTAGTGGTGTTCAACAATATGAGAGATCATGCATGTTCATGGGGGAAATCCAGGATAGGGATGAAAAGATTGGTATCAAGAATTCTGAGATTGTTGACATGAAACGTCACTTAGATGAACTGAGAAAGAGTCTCAAGGATTCTGAAACATCTATGGCTAGGGTCAGTCCTGACACACTTCCCTATTCGGCAGGCATTCCCAACTACGATCTCGCATCAAGACTAGTCATCGACAAACTGGAGAATGACGTGAGTGAGGCGAACTATGAAAACGCTATTCTGAAATCTTGGGTTTCGCAGATCGACAAGGAGTTGACCTATGAGACAAATATGGCTCATTCCTATCGTGGGCATGCTGTACCTTCTCAACAACAACAACCTTCTCAATCAAACAAAAGAATCGCTGATCTGCTGAAAGAGGTTGACAACAAGATCGCTGACGGAACTGAGAGGGACTATTACAAGCCACCGAGTGGATGGGGCGGTCCGCCTGACCCTGATGGACCTCCGGACCCTTTCGGGCCTAACGGTCCAGGACCACCTCCCGAACCTCCAGGTTTGCCTTCAGTTCGAGGATCACAACGCGATTCAGCAGATGATGTCTCCACAGCGGCTTACACTGCAGAAGAAGTGCCGAGAATGTCAAGACGAGAGGCTGACAAAGTCTATGTTAGCCCATGGCCGAAGCAACAGAATCTTGGGGTTTGGCAATCAGATCTCATCAAGAGTGTTGTTCGTTCTGCAAATGATGGGGACAAAGCCGCATGGGAAGCATGGCTACAGCCGGCTATTCGACCAAATCCCGACATCGAGCTATTAAATGACAGTGGAGGGCAACGGTATCAGTCAATCGACGCCAAGTTGTCAATTGCATTGTCAAACGTGATAGCCCAAGCCGGTGACGTTGCTCGTCATGTAGAGATCAAATTGAGATTGAGAACACAAAGTCATAGTCGAAGAGGAACCTATGTTATGGGACGGGAAATCTTGGCTATGATCCTGGAGCACTTCAGAACCCCAGGTCAACGAGAAACAGCCTTCACCATGGAGCACATCGTATCGATGAAATATCTCGGTGACTCAAACCTGGAAGTGTTCTACGAGAAATGGATGGAGATGGTATCAAACATGATGCCGGATGATGTACCTCCTGATGATTGGCTTCGTGATGCTCTATACAAGAAGATTCGAAATTCGAGTCTCATGTTGTTTGACATCAAGCAGTACGAGTCGTGGATTGAAGGAGACCAAAGACGAAATTATCGCTACCTGTTGGACGTCATCGAAAGGCACATCTCCAGAATCAGAGAGGACAAGCATGTGGCCGCTAGAGAGAAGTATGCAAGAGACTTTGCAGGTGGCGGCAAACCTTCAGCTCCTGCCCCAAATCCAACTGCTGCTGCACCGGATGCAAATCCAAAGGCGAAGCCTAAAGCTACTCCCAAGGAGAAGGCAGCACCCAAGGCGAAGGCCAAGGCCGATGCAGCTCCAGTTCTACCATCACCTCAGCCTAAACAGCATGCAAAAGGAAAAGGTCAAGGGAAAGGAAAGGATCGAGCAAACAGCCGAAGTACCAGCCCTAGATCCAAGAAGAAGATCCCATGCCATTTCCATTTCATCAAGAAATCATGCAGGAAAGGCAAAGATTGTGAATATAGTCATGATCAAAAGGTGTTCGATGCGAACAAGAACGCAAAAGGGAATGGTCGGAAGCCAGGAACTCCAAGAAGTCAATCTCCGGCAAACAAGACCAAGAAGGTTGACGAACCATGCTGGCATTGGGCTAAGGGCAAGTGTCGGTATGGAGACAAATGCAACAAACGCCACGATCCTCATCTATTCAATACTGCTCCGAACACCGAAGCATCAGGCTCAAAGGCCACTCCTGCACTTATCCATGATTGGAGTGATGATGAAGAGACGTTCCATAAGGTTGCATCGAACGTGGTCAAGAAGAAGGTCAGATTCGATGAGTCTAAGACTCACGTTCAAACTTACGTAAAGAAGGACTTCGTGAAGTGCAGCCGGAAGTCCCAAACAATCTCCAAAGGTCATGGTAAAGTTGGTAAGCCCACTGATCAGATAAGGAAAGATGAACAATGGTCTTATTCATGCAGGTTAGCGTCGAGCCGAGGGAAAGCAATGGCTATTCTGATCGATGAGAAGGGTGAACACAGTGACATTGATGAAGTCCTGGTCATCGTCAGCCCTAGCATGGACATTCTGATCAGACTCGACATCGAGGACGGTGAGGTGTCCAGGGAAGTTTTTGTGGAGAACTATGTTCAGCATATTGAAGGTCGATATGGTAAAAGGGGCAACACAATGTGTATCACTGTTCCTGTTGAGGAGAGAGACAAGAGATTCATATTGGATTCTGGAAGTGGTCATGATCTCATTTCATCCACACGAATAAGTAGGATGGATCTCCCAACATATGATGACAAGGTCGTCAACTTCCATACAGCAAATGGGGTAACGTGTTCGACCAAACGTTCAAGCATCAAGTTCGAGGCATTCAGCGAACCAGCAGAAGCTCACATCCTGGAGGACACACCTTCTGTGCTCTCCATGGGAAAGCGATGCGTTGATCTTGGTTACTCATTTGTATGGCCGACCGGAAGAACTCCATTCATGTTGGATCCAAATGGCAACATCATCGAGATGACCGTCAAAGACTATATTCCCTATGTGAGCGTCGATCAAGAGAAGAGAAAGTTGAAATCATCTTGTGTAGAAAAGATCATGGCAGTTCTTGATGACGGATGCTCGACGTCGGAAGGTGAAGGTCTTTTGGTCATTGATGGAGAAAGTGGGGATGAGCTTGAGGATCTTTCCGACTCCGTTGGACGATCCGATGTT